AAAGAAAACCCAAGCAATTATATGCCCTAATGGCTATATCTTTCCAAGTCGATACTTAGGTACATAAAAATGAGTTTAACTCAATACAATTAAAGCCAAGGTTTGTACAAGAACAATTACATCAAATAAACAAAAGGAAGCTCTTGGCTCCAAGTCCTTTCAAGTTATGTCCTAGGTGGAAGCATATCATCAGCACCTAAAAGTTGTTTACTACACAGGGTGAGCCAAAGCCCAGTAGAGATACTTTAACACAATATATAAATCTTAAAAAAATCATGAGATGGATGCATATGCATGCCAATTGTCAAACATTTTACATTTTCATTTCAAAACAATGTAATGCCAGATTATATATTAATTCACAAAAATAACCTTTTATATTAGAAAACGGGACAGTGGATACAAAACACTGGGAATCTCTAGGTATGTGTCTGCGAGTAGGCTATATAAATACTACCTAAGTCATTTTATAGGTACTAATTAGAAGGATCGACACCTAATCACGCGAGTTTCTGGACTTTCACCACGGACAGACAAGACAACATAATAACCACAACCACACCCCATAACCAAATTCACTAAGGTATTCATCTATTTTTCTCAAAATAATACATTTTCAATGTTTAAGTATGAATCAATGCTTAATGTAAGATGTATGAGTAATTAGTTTCAATTCATCTAATCCTCATACAATTCTACAACAATCAAAGCTATCATTCCCCAATAGTTCAAAACAGATATTTCTATTCAATAGATAATTTCCAACAAAAGATATAATCTCATCATTTTTGAAATATGAGTGATATTACATATCCAACTCCACCATCATAATCAACATACAAATTCATTCCATTCTTTCAAACCTAACATCTTCCATTTTCTTTCACAAAACCAAATATCCATGATTTTAAAACAAAACCCCTTATACTTCCAAAATCAATTTTAAGTAAAGAAATCTACCATTTTAACATATCTCAACCATAAACACATCCCTACAACCTTTCTCAAGAACATATTTGAAAACCCCTCTTTACATTTCAAAATCAAACCTTAGGTTTAACCCAAAATCCCCAAATCACTAGATTCTTTCAATGGACAAATAACTAAGGTAAAAATCATAGCAAAGGTTAAAGAAATCCCTACCTCAGGATTAGAAGGCAAAAGAAAGCTAGGGTTAAAGTTAGGTGAAGTCGAAAATGATATCCTCTCCGATAGATTGAAGCTCTCGACGTGCTTTACCTTTTTCTCCAAAAGAATAGGGTAAAGAAATCAATAGATTGTGAGTATTTGGGGCTTGAATGCAAGAATGTGAGAGAGAGAGAGAGAGAGAGCTAGGGTTTTGGAATGTTTTAGAGATGGAGAGAAAGTGAAAAGTGATTCAGAAAACCCTTTTTCCTGAACTGATAGACGCACAAACTTCTTGAGCGACCAAAACACCGCTCAACCGTCAGAAACAAAACGTGGCACTACTCGAGCGACCAAAAGCACCGCTCTAGCACACAATGACCCCCTCCCAGAAACGCAGACCTGTAAAAGATCGATTGAGCGCAAGAAATACCACTCGAGTAAAGATACTCTATTTCTATAAGTTTTGCAGACTATAAAAGACCGCTCGAGCACAAGAAAGATTGCTCGAGCGAACAAGCAAAATTTGGACAACAACTCTTTGAAAACTAACCCCCAACCTGTTCCAAATGCAACAATAACTCCAAAATAACCAAACTTAACTAGCAACAACATGAAAAATGAAATGAACAATAGTTAAGGATATGGATTTCGGATTCAAAAGCAAGAAATGGGTTGGGTGTAAACATGAATCGTTATATAGACTTCCAAATTTTTGGTATGCACTTTGCAAAATTTGACCATACGGATGTGTTCGGAATGCTCCAAATAGCTGGAAACGACTATTGGATCATGGTGATTAGACTCTAAATGGCGTAGATTTAGCTAAAATATATCTGATAGTTTAGATCAACTAGTTGTAATTTGCCCGCGAAACATTGGATGATTTCTTCATTGCTTTTCTAGTTGTCATCTCTGGTGAAACCGTTAACTTTCTGAGCAAACTTTGATAAGCTTGTATGGCTTCATTTGAGCTCCGATTTCGATGCGATTTTTTGTGTTAGCCTCATTTCAATGAGTACTTCACATTGGTATATTCAAAACTGGATTTTGACAATTTAAAAAAATTATTTTCTGGAAATTTGATATGTTTCGCAATTATCGGTGAACTTCGGTAGTTCTTGGCTTTTCTGGTTGGTGGGTCTAAGACTCCTCTAGTTGACACGAACCCTCTGGTATTTTTGTATCTTGATTTCAATACCTTCAAAATCTTGACAAATTTGATACTGTGCTTTGTTTCTTCAAATTTTTTGAAAAGTGGCGAGTACTAGCTCTAATACCACTAATGGAATTGAATTATGAAAATTTCCTTTATATATGCTCTGATACCATGCAAGTCTAAGTCTGTCGAGGAGCATAATTGATGAGGGCATGATGCATGTTGTCGAGCAAGCTTTAACATGTGTTTTTGGACTGGTGGATGATGTCCAAAGAACTTCCAATTTGCTGAGTTGGCCAAGATAATGGCAATGTCGAGCAAACACTCATGGCATGGGCATTTCTTGTTTGTTGAGGTGAAGTTGATGACATTGGCCATGGTATGTCTTGATTTTCAATAATTGTTTTTGCATGGTGATGTTACGAGTGTTCGGCGTGCGACATTGTTGGAGTAAAAGGGTGACGTAGTGGAGCTAGTTGGCTAAGCAATTCTTGTTGTATTGCCGAGAAGTTGCTCTCATGAAGAAGAATGTAGACCCAATTTCTAGAGAAAGAAAATGGGCACTTAAACTCGGTCGGCAACTTTTCTTGGTCTTTAGCTTGCCAAGAACATTTCTAGAGCAAAAAAAAATCAAGATCCAGTTGTAGATCTTTGAGATGTATGTTCCTCGACGTCGCCACAAGGATGACTATGGCATTGCCGAATTGAAGTTGAGGTGACTTGGTCATTGTTGTTGCTCGTTTCAAATCGGTAGCCCTTTGAAAAAATGTCAATAGCTCTATCTCCACGTACGACTAAATTTTTTCTTGGTGTCGTCATCTTCTCGGCATTGTAACGATATTGTAATTACCTAGAAACCGGGTGTCATAGACATGGTCCAATTGCCGAATTGATAAATAAGGGCTAAAAGACCAGCATTGAACTATATGGTTGTGGCGATGGGTTATTGATTTGAACCCACAAGATCTGGTCCAAGCAGTTGTCATCTGTCTGAGCCGAAGCAATGGTTGCTCATTGCTAGGTAGACTCACTTTTATGATAGCAAACTTATTCTAAGAGCTTGCAGCTGAAGTGATGCCGGCTGAGAAAACCACTCTTGGTCCATCTTCTTTGTATATCTATTATTGTTGAAAGATACATATTTCCATGATTGGCTATTTTGATTGTTCATTAGTCACAACAGATGCCTTCGTGAGAGGAAATGGTGCTGAATAATCTTTGAGAGAGAAAATTAACACCCAATTATAGATCTCTCAGCACCATGTTATCTGAAAGTTTTTTTTTTTGGTATGTATTTGTGTGTGTGTATGTGTGTGTAAGATTATCCAAAGCTATTTCCAAGATGGAAAGATTCCATAATAATAAACTTGCAATCAGTAACGTGTAACAATGATCCGACTAGTGGTGTTTGATATCTTCTTCGTTGAATTCTTTTGGTCTTTTTCATAGACAGCGCCAATTGTGAGACCGAGAAAATCCTTTCACATGGATTGTTGAAGAGATCCAACAAAGGGATGAGCTTTGTCCCGTAGATCTACAAAGATAAACATGGTTGACGCCACTCTATCGGGGTTGTCGACTAGGGATAGTCCGATGATAAAGTTAGAACCCTTGAATCAAAGGGAATAAATGAAGAAGTTGTAAAGTATTTGTGTGTGTCTATTGTAGAGATGAGGCATACTTCTCTTCTGTGGGATGCTCTCCTTTTATATAGGTGGGTGTGGCTTGCCCTAAACATTTACTTGATGGGCTTCTTAGCTGGGACCATTGTTAGGACTTGTTCGCATTACCCCTAATAAGCTGGGATATTTTGGGTTACCACAAATAGAATGAAAATTAAAAGTTCCCTCAAGCTTACATTAACAAAAGAGAAAGGGTGTAACCCTGTATACACATATGGCATTCCGCTTACAAGTAAGGCCCCGTGGCCACAAATAGGCAATTTCTTTAATTTAGTAAGCAATTTCTTTAAGTAGTAAACTGACATTTTCATTGTTGCATTATTCAAAATCAACAATCTCAATGTCATCCATGGTATGTAAATCTTCAAAACCAATTGATTTTAAGGTTCTTAAATCTTCAAAATCAATTAATTTCAATGATCTTAAATCTTAAACCAATTGATTTCAATGTTTTTATACCCTTAAATCTTCAAAACTAATTTATTTTGGATGTTTTATTTTAGATGTTTATATATCTATAGGTGATGATTGTGTGTGGAGTGTATTTTGTGATTTTATATATGAAATCTTTGAATGGGTAGAATACACTCCCATATAATCTTTAATGATCTTTTCATTTGAGAATATTATTAAAATATAAATTTAATCTATTAATAGTGTGTACTGAGAGGATTAGTGGTGTGTAAATAAAAAAATTTTCCAACCTAATTTTTGGGTGCAGATAGATCCGTGCCATATATATTGTAAAATAGTTAGTATAATTAATGAAATACTCTTCTTTAGTAGTTTTGTTTAACATAAATAAATTGATGATTGAGATTGAGACAACATTAAAAATTTAAGATTTAAATTGAAAAAACAAAAATTAAAAATCTATAATTTATTTTATTATGAGAATTAAACTCTTTATTTTATTTTTTAAAAATAATTTCTCCCAGAATTTTGTATATCATTTTTGTTTTCTGTCATTTGTTTAGGCATATATCAATTTTCTTTTCAAACATCAATAAGAAGCATCTTTTTTCCCTCCGCAGAAGCCTCACAGACAACAATTTTGATGGTCCAATCCCGCCAGAATTGGGTGCTCTTCCATATCTACTAGAGTTGTAAGTGTGACGGCTTCGCCTCTCCCCCTCTCTCTCTCTCTCCCTCTGCACAACTGACATAGGTTTTATTAGGTTTAACACAACAGTAAGTCTGTCTTGGATTTGGGTCAAGAATGGAATGTGTAGTGCAGATTGAAAGTGTGTATTGTGCGGTTCATGTACAAAATGAATCTGAACACACATTGATGTTTCTGGGTAAATTTTTAGTATTGCTCTTTACACAATAATAGTAATCCATAAACGATATGAACCGCACTCTTTTTAACTCATAATTTATCTCGAATGTATTTGTGTGGTGAAAATTAAATTGATTAATATGAGTGCATAAGCAAATGAATTTCAACTCTTTATTGTTTTTTTTTGGGTAGTGTTGTGGGTAGTAATATGATGGTCTTTTGTTGTTGTTTTTGTTAATAAATTACAGGTATCTAGATGGTAATTTATTGTCAGGACAGATACCTTCTCAACTGGGGAACCTTTCTAACCTTATGGCTCTGTAAAACTCTACTGATCCTGTTTCGTATATGATTTATTTATTGTTAGTGAACTATTCTATTCTCAATATTTTATTTTATATTATTATTATTTTTGTAGGGATTTATCGGATAATGGGCTCTCGGGGGAACTTCCCGATGAGCTAGGACATCTCACAAATCTTAGGCATCTGTAAGCCTCCCTTTGATGACTATTTGGTTACCAGAGTAAACAGACCAATTTGGTTTTTCCATCTTAATTCTAAATTATTGGTTCTTAAATTATGGTCATATCCTTCAAATCCATTAATTTGTATGGAACTACAGTTAAAATTCTAAATGTTAATTTTTTTATAAATATTGATTTGCTTTATATTTGATTCTTTACTCAATGTAGAAGACCTTCTCAAATTCTATTACATCATTTACTTGTAAAATTCCTTATATTAAAGATTAATAAAATTATTAATTGTTGAAATCTAAAAAATACGTGTCACAAAACTGATAGATTTATTTACAAATAATTCTCTGCATTTTGGACCCTATTTGTTCATTTGAGTCATTTATTTATTTTATTTATTTTTTTAAGGACACTTAGGCCATAAATTCAATTTTCAAACTTATTTGGTTAAATTCTGATGGCTATTAGCACCCAATCAAAACTTTGGACCCCACCTACAAAATTCAAAAATCCTAAAAATTCGATGTTGCCTCTAAATGTACCCCAAAAAAGGTATACATGGAAACTCTTGGGATCAACAATTTTCACTAGTGAAAATAATGAAGATTAAGAACACGAAGAAATACATTTCAACTGCAACTAGAGAAGTATATTTCATGACTCGTATTGTTGTAACAATCGCTTTATCGCTTTTGATTTCAGGTACCTACCAAATAATAATTTTAATGGAAATTTGCTTCAATCGTTTGATCAACTTAAAAACATGGCATATTTGTAAGTGGATGTTGATATTACATTTCTTGTTTCACTTTTGTTACTAAGCACCATCTCTTTTAAGTTCATTCATTTATCTTTTGTAGTGACATCCGTGGGAATAACTTCAATGGACAAATACCTGCTTTCATAGCCCAATGGAAACATGCTAGCAAATTGTAAGCATTGAGTTGAGCTAGTCTAATTAAGCTAGCCATGTATGCACCATGGAAGTTTGATCCCTATTTTTCACGTTCAACTTCTGATCTTCATAGGTACCTCATGGGGAACAATTTTGAATGGCCTGATAGTCATGGAGTGTTCCAATCATTGAAGAACCTTGAAATCTTGTAATTTTTTATCCCTGGCTGAGGCCATATATTTTGTTTCCTCACTCAAGTTATTTTGATTACAACTTGCTGTTTTAAATTCCCATTCCCATTTCTTTGTTCAGGCAGCTTGCTGACATAACTGGAAGTCCCGGACAAGACACAGATTTCCCCATTGTCAATACTCAGTCATTGAAACACCTGTGAGCCTCTCATTATGTATTAACACAATAAAATTATATCTGCGATTTCATTGTATGTGAACTTTGGCAGTCTAATCAAAATAATTGCTCCAGAACACTGCGGAATTGCTCACTTGGTGGTCAAATCCCTGAATTTATTTGGCGAAGTCGATCCCTAGAATATTTGTAAGATACTTCTATCGAATGTTAGATTATCAAATTTGATGCAATTAGTGAAGTTTATTTTATTTGCTACTGTTTGATACTTGGGAAAATTACAAATAAGAAAAAAAAAAAAAGTTCAGGATTTGAGCCTTATAACGAAATAAATCCTGAATTTTTAATTTTATCAATTTAAACCTTAATCTGTTGATTTGTTTTCAATCTAAATCATCTACCTATTTTTGTTAAGTAAAATTGATGGAAAAATGGTATTTTAATTATTAAACTCAATGGAAACAGACATTTTAGACATTTTTGTGCACCTATTGAGAGGCCTAGACTTCTTGATGTAATTTGAAGGAGCTTGTAAACTACAGATACTGAAATCAACACTGTTCAACTTCTATGATTGACGATTGTGACATCCAATCAGGAATAAATAAGGTACAGAATCTAGGGACTTTATACCAAATAATGGAGTCACAATCAAAAGAAAATTGAATTTTTAGAGAGAGCAATTCTTAAATTGGTATACGAGAGCCAAAGATCTAAAATTTACAATATCAACATATCATAAGTTAGTTATTGAGGGATTAACCACTTATTTATAGATAATGGCTAGTTCAACCAGCAACTACTAACAAATCAACTCGCATCACTTTATGAAATAGAAGAGTGCATATCAATAAGGACCTTAAAAATTTGAGCCCCAAGGCGGTTGCCTCGATATCCTAATGATTCAGTTGGCCTAACTAACTCAAATGCAAACTGATTATTTCATAGATATACAAATGCATCAATTCTCATGGACTTCTGATGCTCCATTTGTTCAAAGAAACTTCTTGACTACTCGTCCAGTATCAAATATGGTCCAAGAGATTTATGTATGAAATGGGCTCAACATTGTGCCTGAACCTATCTAACACCCCAATGTGCTCAGAAAAATATAAATAAATAAATAACACCTCTCTTATGTGAGAGGCAACTAAACTAAACAAATTAACTTGAATAGAGCTATAGAAATTAACATACACAAAACAAAGTCCACAATAGGACATAGTAAGGGGAACTAACGAGATTATGATACTTGAACCTAGCCAGGTCATATAACTGCACGAATGAAATGTGAGAATAATATTAGTATAGTATATATTATGTGAATATTGTTTCCTATTTAAGATTGGTTTAGGTTTATTCTTTTCTATTTAGGATTGGTTTAGGTTTAAGATTAGGTCTAGAATTGCTATATATATCACATGTGCACATTGTATTGAAACACAATTGAATATAGAGATTCATTCAGAAATCTTACATGGTATCAGAGCTTGGTTCGAAACGCTAATCTAAAGGATTCGAAACCCTAGCAGCCATCTATATTCGTTTTCGTCTAGTTCAAAGTCAACCTAGTGAGTTCTCTCTCACATTGCGATTCGTCTGGTTCTTTAGTCTCTGGTTCGCTGCCATTGGATGTTCATCGGAGTCGTATTTGCCACCAGAATCACAATCCAAAGACACGTTTGACCCATCTGCTCGTATGAGGGATCTCTCTCTCTCTCTCTCTCTCCCTCTATCTAGCTTGGCCTCTCACTAGACTTCGTCTGGTTCTCTCGCATCTTTAACTTCGACTTCAGCTTCAGGTTCTCTCAGCTTCAGTTTCAGCTGCGAGGCCCTTCTATCTTGCTGGTTGTGTCGATCGAAGCTCTCTGCTTCGTTTTTGTTGACGAAGCTCTCTCTCTCTCTCTCTTTCTCTTCGTCTCTGGTCTCTATTCTTTGATCATTCTCTCTTTTTGGTTATCTGTTCTTAATTGACAAGTGTTTGCCCATTTGGAGATAGTTTCAGGTTATTACATTTTGACCCCATCAGATTTCAATTTATTACATTTCACCCAATCGGTTCGCTATTTTTGGTTCATTACGACGACGGATGATCATATTTAGGCTATTAATTCTCCATATGTCTTCTTGGATTCTGTTAGGCCCAAGAAGGGGCCCTTGGCTTTAGATGAGTGTGCTTTCTGCCATCAGAACGGTTATTGGAAGTATCACTGTCCCAAGAAGGGACGTTCGTTTGCTCTGTCTTCTCAGTAGTCTCAGCCATCGTTTCGAGTTCCCTCTCAGAGTACTTTTTTGCCTCCTACTGCTTATGTTGCATCTACATCGGCTCCTCATCCTGACTTGGCTTCCTTGGGTGCTCAGATTGGTGAGCTTTAGCATATATTGTCTACCTCCCAATCATCTTCATCTACCTCCATTGTTTCCTCTCTTTATTCAAGTTTGCTTGGGTCTTCTTCAAGTATCTCTTCGTTTGTTTGGATTTTTTATTCTGGTGTCTTTCATCATATGACTCATCATCTCTCATTACTTCATAATTGTACTCCACCTCCCTTTCCTATTACTGTTAATGCTGCTAATGGGTCTTGTATGTCTGGTATATCTGTTGGGTCTATCCTATCATCTGCTATGTCTGTTGTCTCTATTCCATTAGTCTTATATGTTCCTCAGTTATCTATCAGCCTATTATCAATCGGTCAACTTGATGCCTCTGGTTTTGATGTTATCTTTTCTTCTTCTATCTGTTTTATGCAGGATCGGATGTCTAAGCAACAGATTAGGACCGGCCGTAGCGTTACAAACCTCTATGTGGTGGAGAGCTTGCATCTGTCTATGACAACCTCTTTGACTGCCTTTATGTCCCACTTGGGTTTATTTTATGACTCATAAGTCTGACTTCTACCAGATATACCGTACTTTCCAGTCTATGGTCACTACATAGTTTGGGTCTACTATTAAATTGTTGTGGTCTGAGTTGGGCGGGGAATACTTTAAAACTGAATTCTGTGAATATTTGGACAAATTGGGTACTATTCACCAAACATTTTGTATTGATACACCTACCCAAAATAGTCAAGCTGAGCGTAAACACCGTCATCTCCTTGAGATAGCTAGGTCTCTCCTTATCTCTGCCTCCGTTCGAGCTCCGTTTTGGGCTGAGGTAGTTCTTACTTTTGCTTTTCTTCTCAACCGTATGCCTACCCCCCTTCTTTCTGGTCGGTTTCTGTAAAAGAAATTGATAGAGAGAGAATAAATTGTATGTATTATTGATTGATATCTTTAATGGTGTGTTGAGCTCTCTCCTTTATAGAGGAGAGGGAGAACAATTACAAACCGAAAGTAGAAGCACAAACCAAACAACATTATTAAAGGTACATTATTAAAGCATACTAATTATTATACTAACCTAATTATTAAAGCAACATTTTACATATTATATTCTAACAGTTTCCTTATGAGACTCTGTTTTCTTAACTTCCTAATTACTCCCTCCTTCGTGTGCTTGGGGTCTTCTTGTTTTGTCCTTTTACCTCGTAAAGATAGGACCAAACTTAGTGTCTAGTCTGTCCTGTGTCTTTTTGGGTTATAGTCTCACTCAGAAAGGTTGTCGCTATTATGATCCTAATTCCCGTCGTCTTTATGTCTCCCACCATATTGCCTTTCTCGAACGTCTACCTTACTTTCAGTTTTCTCCTCTCACCGAGATACTATATTTCAAGGTTTACTATTGTCCTCTTTTTCCTCTTTGGATTTGGTGGCCTATGCTGATTGTGATTGGGTTGGTGATGTTATTGATCGCAAATCTACGTTTGGTTTCTGTATATTTCTTGGTGATTCCTTGATCACTTGGAAAAGTAAGAAACAAACTGTTGTTGTTCACTCTACTGCCGAAACTGAGTGTTGTGCTATGGCTCATGCTACTGTTGAAGTTGTCTGGCTTCATTGTCTTCTCTCTGACTTGGGTGTCCCTCAGTTTTCTCCGACCTCCCTCTATTGTGATAACCGCAGTTCTATTCAAATTGCACATAACACTGTCTTCCATGAGCGGACTAAGCACATTGAAATTGATTGTCATTTTGTTTGTCAGCATTTGTAGTCTGGTTCTATCTCGATTCTTTTCATCTCTTCGGCTCTGCAACTTGCTGACTTCTTTACCAAGACTCAAACCACTGCTCGATTTTAGTTTTTTCTTGGCGAACTCTCAGTGTTTTTTGCCAAACATCTTGAGTTTGAGCGGGGTGTGAGAAAAATATTAGTATAGTATATATTATGTGAATATTGTTTCCTATTTAGGATTGATTTAGGTTTAGGATTAGGTCTAGAATTGCTATATATATCAAATGTACACGTTGAAACACAATTGAATATAGAGATTCATTCAAAAATCTTACATGAATACCATGGTAGATCAACTATTGTCTAAAAGTTTACACTGTCATGAAATGGGCCCAACAGTAAATATTAAGATGTCTAATACCATCTTGTAATATCAGTAACAAAAATGTTTTGTTTTATGGGATCTATTTGCATGTTTTATGGATGAAAGCATTCCTCCGATGAAAGCATTACTCCAATAATATCTACTCAGATTAAATGTTTATTTAAGGTATTTTGAATTTTAATGAATTTGTTTATTTTGTTCCTTATTGCTTATTTTCTATTGCAGGGACTTAAGTTTCAACAATCTGGTTGGTGAACTTCCAACTTTTGCAAGCGATAATTTGAAATATATGTGAGCGAACTTACTTGCCAAATGCTTCATATTTTTGGCATTTCATGGAAATAATGCATTTCTTTGTGGTCTTCTTAGGTTGAGAGAATCATATTTCGTATTGAGATATACTAGGTCATAACACATCAGGGTAGAGGACCAAAACAATTTACACATATGTGAGAATCTTTGCGAGTCTTGTGTGTATCCAGACTTGCACCCAAAAAGATTCTCATTGATTTGTAATTTTGTGCCCCATTTTCCACTGATAAATTATTTCCCCTAGATATATTTGAGTGCACCATTTCATCTTTCATATTGTTGCATATATGGAAGGCTCCATGTTTAAAAATGTTCCACTTTATGTTTAATAAATAAACAAATTAGGGCACTAGGCTGACTACAAGTGGATTTGTGATGGGTTTAAGGAAGAAATTGCTTCAAGGTTTATAACCAAAGAAACGTTCTGTGGTTTGCAGAAGGGGAAAAGCTTGAATTTGTTCACTCTCAAAAGTGGCAGGTTACTGGAGTTTTAGATTTGGCGCAATTAGAAGGACTAGAAAGTTTATATCTTGTGGTCTTCGTTTGTTGAATTAAAGGCCAATAAGTTTGAGGATAGATTTGGCTTCGTTAGGACTTGATTTTAAAAATTAAGAAAGTTAAATCAGGATTGTTCTGTTGTTGTGAATAGTAGATGAAGTTCGTGCATAAAGACAAAGGGAATGATGTTGTGGCTTCGTCTTTGCAAAGCTTATGCGATTCATATAAACAAAGTTTTATATTCTCATAAACTCAACACCATCGAGTAGAAGAACAACATAGGCATTCAAAAGCTTCTATATTTCTCCTATTTCTCATGGACTTCAACACAAAGTTGGAAAGTAGTTGATCTTTACTAATTAGTGTTGGGGAATTTTCGAAATTAAAATGGGTTTGTTATTTGGTAGTTTTCAAAACCTTCACTGTTTCCTTATAGAGAGCTTTTTTTTTAGCTTTGTGGCTTGTCCCACTTCAAAAACATGAGAGATAGATGTTGATTTAACAAAGAACTACAAGGAATATTCCCTTGATTAAGGATTTGTGGGAAGGGTGCTAGTGTGTATGCTCACACACCGCAAGGATGGTGCGAAGCACCATTTGAACATGCGCGTGGGTAGTGGTTATGTGGTGTTTGATGGCGCACTACGTGCTTTGCACAAGGCACCATGGATATGTTTTCTTATTTGCTTTAGAAAGCTTGGTCGCAATGACATGGCGGGTTTGGAACGACCGCATGGTGATGATGTGGGATGGTCCATGTCAGCATATGACGGCATTGATGTGGAATACAATTGGCACAACATGGCAATGTGATGGCCCAACCAATCGAATAGTTGCATGTCGATCAAGATCGGTGTGATCATGGCCTTTGATCATGTAGCTGCGTGATCGTACGGTACATATGGCATCCAATCACAATCAGGTGTGTCTTGTCGTTACACCCATTTAGGTAAGACAAGATTCAGATCATCAAGGCTCAATCTGACTATCAAATTTGATTAGGTATTATCAAGGATCATTATCCTTTCATTGGGGTGCTTCCACATGCCTATGATCAGTCCATTTCCATCATTCAATCCAACATCTAGATTTCAGAGGCAAGTTTTGAAATCCTCTCTCTCTCTCTCTGTTTCAAATTTTTAATCAAGAGCTTTCTGTTTTCTAATATTTTATTACTCAACAGAAACAGAATATTAGACCTCGCTTCCCTAGCCTTTGTTTTATACAAAGGTATTTTGATATGTCTTTGAGATTGATGTTAACCTAGTGCACACCATCTGGTAGGGGCAAATACTATCTTTATGAAAGCAACATTCATAACCGTAAGGGGTTGGCCTAGGGCTTGGGGTGTATACCCTTCAAGGTCTCAGGTTTGAAACCTCTTACGTGCAAATAATTTCTTAGCGGTGGGATTGGTCCCTCAAATTAGTCGGTCTTGTGTGCTAGAGTCCAAGTTATCAAAAAGAAAAAGAAAAAGAAAAAGAAAAAGAAAAAAGGAAAGCATTCATGACGTGACTCAATGTGTATTATAGCAAATTATTTATCAGAAGTTCGTCATCACCATCATCAACCTAGAGGATTTGTAACACTCTAAAGACATTATCTCGTGATCAGGGCAATGTCGGTTATCAAAAAGAAAAAGAAAAAAGGAAAGCAACATCCATAATGCTACTCGATGTGTATTATAGCAAGTTATTTATTAGAAGTTCGTCATCACCATTGTCAACCCGGAGAATTTGTAACAACACTCTAGAGACAGTATCTCGTGATCATGGCAATGTCCTTGTAGAAGATGACACAAGACTTTGTCAAGCTTAGCCGCATCAATAAAGAAAATTTCTAGCGCTGGTAGAAGAAGTTACGTTTCCTCTTGACAATGCTCAACGTGGTGTATGTGCTGAAGACATAATACCTTGAAGAAGAAGATGAGACAATCACTCAAACTTGCACCAGGACCAAGTGAGAAAATGAGTTCTACATATGTAGGGGTCATATAATGAATGCTCTGTCCGATGCTTTGTTTAATGTGTACTAGCATGTGGAGACGAGAAAAGTCTTCAAACATGCCATAGATTACTCTTTTTGAGGTTTGAAAAAAAAAAAAAGCCCTAAATTAATGAAATAATGTTTTTCATGATTTCCAGATAGATATGACAATATTATATTCAGAGTTCACGAAGTCACATATTAAGAACTCTTTTAGAGATTTCAAGACAGGAATCCAACTCTAACTCAAAAAGAAGCTCAAGAAGGCATGGATCAACTAGATAGCTTAGGGTTTGGAAGAAATACAGACTAATCATTCTTCTTGAGAGGGTAATTTATGTAGATAAATTCAAGCGCTGGTAGAAGAAGTTACGTTTCCTCTTAACAATGCTCAACGTGGTGTATGTGCTGAAGACATAATACCCTGAAGAAGAAGATGAGACAATCACTCAAACTTGCACCAGGACCAAGTGAGAAAATGAGTTCTACATATGTAGGGGCCATATAATGAATGCTCTGTCCGACGCTTTGATTAATGTGTACTAGCACGTGGAGACGAGAAAAGTCTTCAAACATGCCATAGATTACTCTTTTTGAGGTTTGAAAAAAAAAAAAAGCCCTAAATTAATGAAATAATGTTTTTCATGATTTCCAGATAGATATGACAATATTATATTCAGAGTTCACGAAGTCACATATTAAGAACTCTTTTAGAGATTTCACGACAGGAATCCAACTCTAACTCAAAAAGAAGCTCAAGAAGGCATGGATCAACTAGATAGCTTAGGGTTTGGAAGAAATATAGACTAATCATTCTTCTTGAGAGGGTAATTTATGTAGATAAATTGGGCTGAGCTAAGTCTATCATTATTAGATGTTGGGCCACGCTATGGGCCGAGATGAGAGCGTGGATAGCCCGGTAACGTTACAAACGGTTGCTGGGCTGGTCAATGGGCCTTAAGATGGTTGTGTGCACCATTGGTGGATGGACCGGAATGGTGTGCTGCAGAAGGCCGTGCTAGGGTTATCTCGGCAAGGTGACTTATGGTGGTCAGTGATTGCACGGCCTGGTCAGAGTAGTTGCACTAGATAGCTCGGCTAGGCATAGTGGGCCGAGCAAGGTGATTAACCATCTCACTTGGTTGGCAGTGAGTAGGGTGTTATCAGAATAGGCATTATCCTGTGGGAAAGTGATTCCTAGGAGGATTCTACTAAGTAGAGTTAGAGTCCTACTAGGGTTGCCACGTGGAATCTATAAGAGTTCATAATTATGCCTATTTCTAGGTATTGCAATTCTTTTTCACGAATACACAAAGCTTATTATCTATTGTTTATTTGCGGACTTAGGCATCGGAGGAGTTTCCGACACACACCCACCAGTTAGCTCACGCTTGTGTTTTTAGGTGATAAAGACAACAACGTTTGGAGAAGTGAAGACTTGATCAACAGGATTATACGAGACAGATTATTTCGTGCTCGTACACTTCCATAGATAAAATCATGTCATAAATTTTGAAATAACACCCTTGCATGCTTTCTAAGCAAGAGATAAGAAAATCCCTACCTTGAAATCAAGCTTTTTCAACAAAAGGAATGAGGTAGGAAAGGTGAATGCTCCAAGAACAAGCCTTCTTCATCAACTTTGATATTCAAATCATCCTAAAAACCACTTCCAAGTTTTCTAATCACTCCTTAATGTAAGGTTGTAGGCCTAAAAACAAAAAAACAGAGAGAGAGAGAGAGAGTCACGGTTTGGGGGAGGAAATGGCAGAAATGAGTGGTTCTTCCCCAACAACGCTAAAATAACCATAGACAAACCTTAGGTTAACCCTTAACCAAAGTTGTAACAAATGGCTAAGACTGAATCTTGAAAACCCTCAAATCCCCACTGTAGATTAAAAAAAATCAGATTTATGTGTATATGTATATCATATAACAAGGTGGTCAATTGGTCATGTGCCTACTTTTCCCAAATGGTGAAAGGAAAAGATGTAAGTGAACCTAAGTGTTTGTATGCATCATTTGAGGTAAAGATGACTAATGGGAGGAAAAAGAGACAGAGAGGTTCAACTGGTCCTCTAGGATCTTTTAAAAAATTTATATTTGCTTAGTTCAAGGGCCTTGGGCTTTCCCCTAAAACCCTAGCTCAACATTGTATAGTTTCTGACACAGAAAATGTACATTTTTTTGTACTAGAATTCTAAGAAATTCATGGTCAACTAATAATAATAATAAATACATAAATAACACAAAAATAATAATTAGTAGCCCTAAAGAGTCCATCTTTCAAATCTCAACCCGGATTGGGCAATGATGCGCGTGAAACGAGACAAATTGTGCACTAAAATTTTCAATTCACCAAAATGTCTTCCAGTTATTAAATAACACTCTATTAACATATTAACATCTAATACCAGACTTCTATAGCCCCTCTCGGATCTCATGCCAGGTGAAGTCCCAGTACATGTATATTGAGACGGTTGCTGCACTTCCTTTCTTAACAAGCAATTAAATTATAATTTAACAATAACATCGTGCTAACATTGTCTACAGGGGTCAGCGAGTCTGTCCCGGCTTTGCTTGAGAAATAATACATGTGTATCAATGTGACCTAAAACACCAAAAATCCTTCAACAAAGTTCTAAATGAAGGCCCCGTTTGGGAATTGGCTATTTTTGTTAGTTTTTTTGGCTATGTTAGTTAGTTTTTTTGGCTTTTTATGAAAAGACATATAGAAAGTAGAGAGAGTGATGTGACAACTTATAGTGACTTTTTGGCTAAAAACTACTCTTACCAAACATAGCCTAAATAGATAGGAAAACTCTGTGGGTTTTATCATAATAGATCGATTCATGACAAAGAGTCGCCACTTAGTCTTTCTTGGGGAACTTAAAAACATGTTTGACTCCGAAACCAACATATAGACATTAATTCGTCATAACCAAAAATCTTGGCTCAGGAGTTTAGGTACGAAAGGGGAATGTCATTAATTGAGCACCCCTCTCACCCAATCAATTGATTGGCCACTACTAATCTTTTACTTTACGAAATTTTATGATTCAATTGATTCTCATAAACTTAATCATTAATCCTAAATTCTTTACTAAACTAACAACTACTTGATTGAATAAACAAGATATTGCCTAACTTGAACTTGGACTCATGAATAAGACCATATAAGCTAATGATTTTCACAAACAAATATGATTTTCTTACACAAAAACATGGCTCAAACAGCATGGCTATTAACATGCTTCCAACTCAAGTAATATCACAAAACATCCAAAACAAATGATTGAAACACATAAAACATATGACTTGCATTATTGAAAAACAATGCATAAAGCAAGCAATATGCTATGAAGAAAAGGGATTCACCTAGTACTACTCACCACCATGCCAACAAAACATGCAACAATGTACAATGATCCTAAACATGACAACTAAAACATGCGACATAAACCTATAACCCAGTTAGGTGACTAACATGATGAATATGCAACAAAAGTAACACTTAACACAATAATCAAAACAATGCTAAGCTATTACAATATGCATGATCTAACTGGGTTTATATGCATGGTTTACAACGACTCTACCATCTTAAAAACACAACCATAATCATGCAATCAAGCTAACAAAAACAAACAAAACCTAACTAACATGAAAATGCACGATGTTATGCTCACATGTGGTCAACTAACCATTATCAAATATGAAAAACATGACTTAAAAACTACTTGATTGAATAAACAAGATATTGCCTAACTTGAACTTGGACTCATGAATAAGACCATATAAGCTAATGATTTTCACAAACAAATATGATTTTCTTACATAAAAACATGGCTCAAACAGCATGGTTATTAACATGCTTCCAACTCAAGTAATATCACAAAACATCCAAAACAAATGATTGAAACACATAAAACATATGACTTGCATTATTGAAAAACAATGCATAAAGCAAGCAATATGCTATGAAGAAAAGGGATTCACCTAGTACTACTCACCACCATGCCAACAAAACATGCAACAATGTACAATGATCCTAAACATGACAACTAAAACATGCGACATAAACCTATAACCCAGTTAGGTGACTAACATGATGAATATGCAACAAAAGTAACACTTAACACAATAATCAAAACAATGCTAAGCTATTACAATATGCATGATCTAACTGGGTTTATATGCATGGTTTACAACGACTCTACCATCTTAAAAACACAACCATAATCATGCAATCAAGCTAACAAAAACAAGCAAAACCTAACTAACATGAAAATGCACGATGTTATGCTCACATGTGGTCAACTAACCATTATCAAATATGAAAAACATGACTTAAAACATACTGAAATTAATAAAGAATAATAACACTATGTAAGGATTGAATATCAAACCAAAGAACACAAGAAAAGGCAAGCAAACTTGCTTGAATTCATCCCTTGAGCTTCAATGGTGTTTTGACCAACTTTCTTTGAACTTCGATATACTTTTTGAAGCTGATTTGTTGCTGTATTAGGGTTAGAAATCTTGGATTTGAGGCCAAGGGGAGCAACCCTGAAGCATCAAGCTCACTCAACTTTTGGGATCCTCAAAAAGTGAGGCAAGGGGGTGTATTTCTAGGCATGAGCCACTCTAGGGGCTAATTCTAAACATTCTAGGGTTGTCTCATCTCTTTCTTGCGGCGCCTCCCAGTTAAATCGATCAGCAATCCCAAATGAACCAGGAGACTGTTCCAGTTGAAGCAAGGTGCAGCCACATTTGGCCCCTTGTGTGGCCAAGAATGCAATGCACAGCTGGGTGATGGCAAGTACGGGTAGACCTCCCAACTGTGGTCGTGTGTTGGTCAACCGATGGGCCCACTTGGTCCTAAGTCCACTATCATGCTCCTGGGCTAATTTGTTGCCTAAGAAAGCCCAATTAACTTCCAAATGTCTTTTTTGATGAAAGGTCGGCTGATACTTTTGGAAAAGCCCACTCCCTGTCTCTCCAAAAGAGGCCAAAAAAGTTAGGTTTTGGATAAAAATGGCTTCAAGGGTAAAATGGTCATTTTTGGAAAAAGATGGTTTTTGGATGTAAAAAGGGTGATACAATAGCTCACAACAAAAAGTGTTTCTAAAGTCAAAGTTCAACACTTTTATCATCAGGAAGCATTCAAGTGCCTAAGTCTTAATGGTCAGTCAAAATGGGATATCAACAATATCCATCTTCATAACTCATATTTTGAGCCCTTAGATTTTTTTATGTTAATCTTACTTTCTTGCTCTAGGAACTAACACTATGATATAGTGGTTGTGGATAATCACAAAACCTTCACGACCTAAGAATCACACAGACAACCAACGGAAGTAGAAAGTAAATAGATCAAACAAATAAACACAAGCAATATACAATTATTTATGTGGTTCACCCTAAAACAAAGGCTATGTCCACGAAGTCGCTGCGATTTCACTACGATCTTCAATGGAGGAATAACATGAGTCACTCTTCCCCTATCTCATGGACAAACTTTATTGATCTTCACCAAAATCTCATATAATAGAGTTAGAATTGATTTTTAGGTTATACTCTCCAAAGGCTTTCGCATCATAGCATGCGCCTTGGGTGAGCCTTGTATGCCTTTTGCGCATAATTAAGCATACAAGTTAGCATATGAAGAAGTTGCCCTAGGCTGTTAAACTTAATCTAGTAGATAGTTCAAACATAAAAATGCAAAAACTAAAAAAGAACCCCTTTTGCAACAATATTCTATAAGACTAAATGATCAATCAAGGAAAAAAGAAAAGAAAAGAGAAGTTAAATGGACAACTGAGAAGCTCAATCACTGAAGGTAAAAATGTCAATTTCACTTTCATTGAAGGCAAGCTTCCTTCTCTACAATAAAATGTTAAATGGAAGTGTTAGGGGATGGGGTAGGCCTAGATTAACATTGGCTAGCGTTGTAAATAGAGATATGGATCTACTTAATTTGACTAACGAAATGACCTTTGATAGAGCTGCGTGGAGAAGGAGGATTCATGTAGCCGACCCCATTTGATGGGATTGAAGACTTGGTTTGGTTTGGTTTGGTTATTTATTTACTAATTTAAAATATTTATTTTATTTATTTAATATTAAAATTTAATATTTGAAATGTTTACACCTCAACGCCTTAAGGCCTACAACTTGCCTTGTAAGGGAAAAAACGTCTTGAGTTACACATTCACCTTTATAAAATTTGATGTACAGTACTAATTGTGAACAACTTAGAGCTACTATGATTTCGAGTCCGACTGCAAAAGCCAAATGGGAAACTACTACTTACAAGATTTCTAGAAACAACTTACCTGCTTGAGCAAATGCCTCTTTAGCAATAACACCATTCCAACGGATAAAAGCAAAGATTTTGGCATTTGGCTATTAGAGTGGCATATGACCCACTCAAGTGGGTATTCCACAGTCTGCACGACCCCATCATCATCATGTTCTTCATGATGGAAATCAAATTGCTCATTCTTTGGCCAGAATGGCTTTTTTAACTTCACTTGAGAATTTGGATGGAAAATGTTATTTCTTCTCTCAGTTCTCTGGCTGAGTTGGAGGCTTGTGATGTTTTCTAATTTGGCCTCATGGCTTCCCCCATTAAAAAAAGAAAAAAAGAAAAAAGAAAAAATTAAGTAATATTATTTTATATTAGTTTTGACCTTTTGATACTCTTTTATTATATCTTAATATATTGCATTATGATGAGTTATAAGGAGAAAAAAAAAAAAAAAAAAAAAAAAAAGGTTCACAAATTACTTAGTTATCTGTTACGACTTCAATGTAAGCACCAAGCAACATATTTGTCAAATTATGTTTTTTATTGTAATCTTTTGTGTTCCATTAATGTTGTATAAGTTGGTTCAAATGCTGTTGAAGATAAAAGATTTCTTCATTTCCATGGGATGTCTAAGTGGTCTATGTGCAATACATATGCATAGTTTTGATAATGAACTTATTTATCTTTTTATTTTTATGGTCAGATATCTCAAGGGAAATATGCTCAACAATTCATCGCTGGGATGGTTCACTAATATCTCAAATTCATCCGTGTACGTGTTTGTTACTAAAATTTGCATAGTGAAACTAAAATATCTTATGCTTCATTTATTTTTCTAATGTTTGATTGTGTTTCTTAAAGCATTGGTCTATTTTTGAATTAGTATGAAGCAACTATTCTAGGGACGGATCTAGAAGTTAATGATTGGGGGGCCAAAACAAGGGTTCAACAAATGCAAATGGTTGATAGATTTAAACGATTTTAATAGTTATTAAAATAAATAAATCACTATTAAAAATAAGTTAATAAATAATGAGAACACTCTAAATATGTTATAGGAATTAGGAACTCGAACTTCAATGATGCACCACTAAAAAAAATATAAATCATATGTAATATTACATAATTCGCATACTACATGAATGATAATAGATTACAAATCACACTATCTAAAAGGTGCATACCTATATGCTCTTTTAAAACTATATCACAATGATTCATAATGAAACCATAATAGCTTACAACTTTTGTCAACACAATAGTTTGTAACATTTAAATGTCCATAACATAACCACAATGGGAAATAAAAATAATTAATTACTTTTTTAAATAAAAAAACCTTTGAGGGGCTCTGTGTATTGAATTATAACATATGAGTAAAAGAAAAACTTTGAGAACTCTAAAATGTCACTCCTAAATTTACTCCAAATGATGCGGACAGTTACATGTCAATTGTTGCTTTGTGTAGAATTGAAAACCTATATAATTTACATAATGCTACACTTTTTCTTATATACATAGCATTATGTGGAAGCTAGCAGGGACCCGGGCCCCCCACCTGCCCTCCTTCCTCCCCTGTACAATTCCATTGCCAAGTTGATTTTTTGAATTTATAATGAAGTTATCTTCAAAGTAGCTTGTTTAATTACAAGATGTGATTTAATGATGAATTCATCTAGACTAAAATGAAGCTCCAATCTGAATTAAATATTCATGTGTATATAATATATATCTATAAGCATACATGCAAACCTAGTGACATGTACATTAATCAAAATACTCAAATCAATATCATAAACTTATATTTAAAAGTCAATTTAAAAAAAAAAAAAAAAAAAACTAGATCTTGGAATAAACAATTTTGTCTACCGTTTAGATTTATATAAGTAATCTCACCTATGAAGCATGGGTGCGGGTACGAGTACGGTACAGGTACGATTGCAGGTACGCCGATACGGAAAACCTCAAAAAAAGTATGAAACGGGTACGGTTGCGGTACGCCGAAATAGATTTTTATTTTTATTTTTATTTTCATTTATAATTATGGTTAAAGGATCCAACCTACAAATTAAAATTAAACATCAAAACTAAAAAGAGAACTACAAAACTAAAAGACAAATATATTTCAATTCAACAATGCCAACACCAAAGGAAAAACAAATATCAGCGCCAAGAAGAAATGACAGATTAAGAAGGAATGATAGATTGTAAATATATTTGAATTCACACTCATCAATTTACACAGATTAAGAAGAAATGACAGATTGTAAATTAATTGAGAGATTGTAAATTATGATAACTTGCATACGTATAAAAAAAATACTCAATTGCACAATAATTGGAGAGATTGTATCTATTAATTGAGAGATTGTGTAATTGAAGAGGGTGTGATTTATTATACCAGCATGGTGTGATTTAAATTACACTCAAGAGAGGGTGTGATTTAAATTAATGACAGATCTGTGTATCAATTAATTGAGAGACTGCCCTTGTTTCAATCAATTAATTGAAGAGATTGTCACTTGCACACACTCAATGACAGATTGTAAAAAAATACTCTTCCACATTTATACAGATCAATAATCTCATCCATCAAAATTGCTGATCTGCAATGGCAAAAAAAAAAAAAAAAAAAAAATGAAGAAACAGAGAGATGAGGAACTCTCACTGGAGGGAAGACGAAGAAAGGAGCAGAGAAGAGGAAAAGCACTTCCTGATCTGCAGAAAAAAACGAAGAAGAAGAAGAAGAAGAAGAAGAAGAAGAAGACAAAGAAGAAGATGAAGACACTCATTGGAGGGCTTCGTCTCGTTGCGTTACTGTCTCCGTTGCTGTTGCTGGAGGGCTTCAAAGTGAAGAGATGTTGATGTTGTTGAAGAAGAAGAAGACGAAGAAGTTGACTGCGCCGTTCTCTTTGCTATAGCTGAAGTGAAGAGATTCAAGGAATGGACAAAGGGGTGGTTTGGGATGATTTAAATAAGTGCACTTTTTGACTTTTACAAAAAAACGTGAAATATGGGTTGGATTTGAAGTGATGTAATAGAGAGGTGATGTGACTTAAATAGGATGATGCGACTTAAATAGGATAGTGACTTTTTAACTTTTTGACTTTTTTGGATTATGCCAAACTAGCCCAAAAACCTGGTGTATATATATTCTTAATATTACAAAATAACACTGTATTTTTTGTTTTTTTTAATAAAGAACATAAATAAATTGCTCCGGTAGCCCTAATTCTCTTACAAATTTTATTTTTTGTCCCGGCGTACCCGAAACGTACCAACAGCGTACCCATGTCGTACCCACGACATACCCAATTGAACCAAACATACTGGACCCCCTTTTGCCGTACCCGGTACGCGTGCAGCCGTACCGGTACATGGTACCCGTACTCGGTAAGTACCCAGTACTCGCATGACACTATTTTTGGAGTACCTGTGCTTCATAGAATCTCACTTACCTAATGTAGTAATAATGTATAGTTGCTTCTTGATCAAATTTGTCTTTGCTTTCCTTTTTTTAACAATAGTTTTACCTAAGCAAGTATGATTCACCATTCTCTTCTTAGAATTTATACAACAAATCAAGGCTTTGTTGATGATTTAAGACAATTAGAAACGATCAACTTTATTTTGATAATGTGGTTAACTATTTTTGTTTTGGGGATAATGAAATGAATTAATACAAATGGTTGAATGTTAACTAGAGCAAAATTACTTCATAAGAGTTAGGTGCTTTGGCTCTATGTTTATGTCACGCACCCTATTAGCAATAATATCGTAGAACTTCATTAGACTAATGATTGTTGGATCCTAGCTACGAGATCAAAGATCTTAGAGAAACACGTTTTTCATTTTTGGGATTAAGATCCATTATAATAGAGGAAGTCTCAATTCTTAAGTTGTCTCACTGTAGGTAGTGTTTATTTTCTACGTTAACATAGTATCAGAGCAGGTTTTGCTTAAAATCATGAAAATATATTTTTTATTCATTTCTTTTCGTTTTCTTTGTTTTGTCTTCTCCTCTTAAAAAAAATAAAAACCCTAGATTATGTTCAGCCCTAGTTGTCGCTGTCAACCTAAGTTAGCTAACGTCATGTTGTCATTGCCTCACCGTCAACCCTAGTCGCCATCAACCCTAGTCAACCATTGCCTCATCGTCAGCCCTTGATCTCCATCATTGCCTCGTCCTTATCTAGACATTATAGTGACATCACCTCTGTTCAACTCAATGCAACATCAATGGGAAATAAAAATAATTAATTACTTTTTTAAATAAAAAAACCTTTGAGGGGCTCTGTGTATTGAATTATAACATATGAGTAAAAGAAAAACTTTGAGAACTCTAAAATGTCACTCCTAAATTTACTCCAAATGATGTGGACAGTTACATGTCAATTGTTGCTTTGTGTAGAATTGAACACCTATATAATTTACATAAATGCTACACTTTTTCTTGTACACATAGCATTATGTGGAAGCTAGCAGGGACCAGGGCCCCCCACCCGCCCTCCTTCCTCCCCTGTACAATTCCATTGCCAAGTTGATTTTTGTGAATTTATAATGAAGTTATCTTCAAAGTAGCTTGTTTAATTACAAGATGTGATTTAATGATGAATTCATCTAGACTAAAATGAAGCTCCAATCTGAATTAAATATTCATGTGTATATAATATATATCTATAAGCATACATGCAAACCTAGTGACATGTACATTAATCAAAATACTCAAATCGATATCATAAACTTATATTTAAAAGTCAATTTAAAGAAAAAAAAAAAAAAACTAGATCTTGGAATAAACAATTTTGTCTACCGTTTAGATTTATATAAGTAATCTCACCTATGAAGCATGGGTGGGGGTACGAGTACGGTACAGGTACGAGTGCAGGTACGCCGATACGGAAAACCTCAAAAAAAGTATGAAACGGGTACGGTTGCGGTACGTCGAAATAGATTTTTATTTTTATTTTCATTTTCATTTATAATTATGGTTAAAGGATCCAACCTACAAATTAAAATTAAACATCAAAACTAAAAAGAGAACTACAAAACTAAAAGACAAATATATTTCAATTCAACAATGCCAACACCAAAGGAAAAACAAATATCAGCTCCAAGAAGAAATGACAGATTAAGAAGAAATGATAGATTGTAAATATATTTCAATTCACACTCATCAATTTACACAGATTAAGAAGAAATGACAGATTGTAAATTAATTGAGAGATTGTAAATTATGATAACTTGCATACGTATAAAAAAAATACTCAATTGCACAATAATTGGAGAGATTGTATCTATTAATTGAGAGATTGTGTAATTGAAGAGGGTGTGATTTATTATACCAGCATGGTGTGATTTAAATTACACTCAAGAGAGGGTGTGATTTAAATTAATGACAGATCTGTGTATCAATTAATTGAGAGACTGCCCTTGTTTCAATCAATTAATTGAAGAGATTGTCACTTGCACACACTCAATGACAGATTGTAAAAAAATGCTCTACTACATTTACACAGATCAATAATCTCATCCATCAAAATTGCTGATCTGCAATGGCAAAAAAAAAAAAAAAAAAAAAAAGAAGAAACAGAGAGATGAGGAACTCTCACTGGAGGGAAGACGAAGAAAGGAACAGAGAAGAGGAAGAGCACTTCTTGATTTGCAGAAAAAAACGAAGAAGAAGAAGAAGAAGAACACTCATTGGAGGGCTTCGTCTCGTTGCGTTACTGTCTCCGTCGTTGTCGCTGGAGGGCTTCAAAGTGAAGAGAT